TTCTCTGTGTTTTTTTAGTTTATTGCTATAAGGTTGCTAGGATGGTCTGGGTGGTTGCCAGAGTGTTGCTACAGTAAGATTGATACAGTGTTTTTTTTATCCATCATGCGGTTCCTGGGGTGTTCTGGGTGGTTGCCATGGCATTGCTAAGCAGTTGCTAAGGTGTTCTCTGTGTTTTTAGTGCATTGCTATGTGGTTGCATTCATGTCCAGTGAGACTGGGGAAATATTCTTCACCCCAGACGTTACATATAAATATTTTGTTATTATTGTGGCAGAGGAATGGCAGCATCCTTTCATTCATTCACAGAATCTGTTGGAAAGAGACCCTGGATATCCTAACATAGACTCAAGCACCCTGCCATCAGCCCCTGCCAGTCATCAGTGTTGCCATGGCTACTGTATAATCAGTTGTGCCATTATTTATGCTATTCAATTGTACCCTTGATGTACATTTAATATCAGTTACTTTAATAATTTTGCCAAGTATTAAAATAAGTGATGTTAAATATCTTACAAGTATTTTTCTCATGTACTGCTTTAACTCTTTCATACATGAATTATGACAACCTCAGTCAGAATTTTTAGGGCATGAAAAACAAGATAACTTTTTTTTTTCTTTTTCTTTTTTTACATACATTTTTTTAATAGATTTTCAGATATCCACTTGAGTGGACAATGTGCGCTTTTGGTTTTAACTGAAGAGATACTGTAATAAACATAATACAGTAATAACAAAGTGATACTGTGTGTATTTAACCAACCAATTAATACAATTATATAAAAATTATTTAAGTTCCAGATTAAGAACTTCATTCAAGTTGAACTTTGACATCAGAACATGAGGACGTGATTCCATCAAAGATCTCTACAACCGGTGAAGGTCCAACTGTGAAACCCAATGCTGGCGAGTATGCTCACGCTCCCTACAAGAGTACCGCCATTCACCCTTATTAGCTGATCATTCTGACTATGTTCTCAGACTGATATCTACATTGATCTATTGATGTTTTCAGACTGTGGAAAAACTAGTGACCAGGTGTTTTCAAATCTCATCTGAAATGTGAAGCATTACAAGTAAAATGCATAATGTATTATAGATTACTTTCTGATGTAACGAATAAAGCATTACAAGTAACATAATCACATCATTTTTCTGATGTAACAAACAAAGCATTACAAGTAACATAATCACATCATTTTTCTAATGTAACGAATAAAGCATTACAAGTAACGTGCATAATGTAATCAGATTACTTTCTGATGTAACGAGTAAAGTAACGCATTACAAGTAACATGCATTACATAATTACATTGCTTTTTTAAAGTGTAGATAACTGCAAATTGCATTAATAACATATACACTCACCTAAAGGATTACTAGGAACACCATACTAATACTGTGTTTGACCCCATTTCGCCTTCAGAACTGCCTTAATTCTACGTGGCATTGATTCAACAAGGTGCTGAAAGTATTCTTTAGAAATGTTGGCCCATATTGATAGGATAGCATCTTGCAGTTGATGGAGATTTGTGGGATGCACATCCAGGGCACGAAGCTCCCGTTCCACCATATCCCAAAGATGCTCTATTGGGTTGAGATCTGGTGACTGTGGGGGCTATTTTAGTACAGTGAACTCATTGTCATGTTCAAGAAACCAATTTGAAATGATTCGAGCTTTGTGACATGGTGCATTATCCTGCTGGAGGTAGCCATCAGAGGATGGGTACAAGGTGGCCATAAAGGGATGGACATGGTCAGAAACAATGCTCAGGTAGGCCGTGGCATTTAAATGATGCCCAATTGGCACTAAGGGGCCTAAAGTGTGCCAAGAAAACATCCCCCACACCATTACACCACCACCACCAGCCTGCACAGTGGTAACAAGGCATGATGGATCCATGTTCTCATTCTGTTTACGCCAAATTCTGACTCTACCATCTGAATGTCTCAACAGAAATCGAGATTCATCAGATCAGGCAACATTTTTCCAGTCTTCAACTGTCCAATTTTGGTGAGCTCTTGCAAATTGTAGCCTCTTTTTCCTATTTGTAGTGGAGATGAGTGGTACCCGGTGGAGTCTTCTGCTGTTGTAGCCCATCCGCCTCAAGGTTGTGCGTGTTGTGGCTTCACAAATGCTTTGCTGCATACCTCGGTTGTAACGAGTGGTTATTTCAGTCAAAGTTGCTCTTCTATCAGCTTGAATCAGTCGGCCCATTCTCCTCTGACCTCTAGCATCAACAAGGCATTTTCGCCCACAGGACTGCCGCATACTGGATGTTTTTCCCTTTACACACCATTCTTTGTAAACCCTAGAAATGGTTGTGCGTGAAAATCCCAGTAACTGAGCAGATTGTGAAATACTCAGACCAACAACCATGCCACGCTCAAAATGGCTTAAATCACCTTTCTTTCCCATTCTGACATTCAGTTTGGAGTTTAGGAGATTGTCTTGACCAGGACCACACCCCTAAATGCATTGAAGCAACTGCCATGTGATTGATTGATTGATTAGATAATTGCATTAATGAGAAATTGAACAGGTGTTCCTAATAATCCTTTAGGTGAGTGTATATAGCTACATTTTTTTACATCCAAAAAAAGTTACTTCAGCTGAAGTATTATTAAAGTCCCTGTAAAGGCAATTTAAAAAAAAATGCTAAACACATTATAAATGTTAGAAATGTATTGCTAAAACATATTACAAAGACTGTGAACTGTGAAGTACTGAATTGTGGAGTTAGACGGTTAAACAGTTTTTCACCATTGATATTTTACGGATTTTTTGGGCGGGGCTAAAACGGGGCTCGATGACGCACTGGAGCCCTTGAGCTCCTGGACACGCCCCTACTTGATGACGCACTGGAGCCACTGAGGCTGTCCGCTCCCCTAACAATAGGCCTATTTCACAAAAATGGCCGCCGAGACCGGAAGTAGGGTAAACTCTTTTCCGGTGAAAGCCATAGACAGGGTGAAAGCGCTAGCAGTTACAGTCGGAGGACAAATGCGGAGATTAAAAGCGGTTGCTTACCTTTTTATGTTTCAACCCAAAGAAGAAACAACCCTATTGATCACTTCACAGCTTTTCGTGTTTTGCGGGTTTTCATGGGAGAAGTTAAATCACGCCAGACGCGTGTGAAGAAGGAAGCAGATGTTGAAATGGAGTGTTGATGCCGGTTCGGGACTGATGCCCTCCACAAAACATGTTTAAATTGCACTTGATTGTTATCCGATTTGCACGTCATGCACTTTTTTTTATTATTATTAACTGTTGGCAAATTAAAATTGTTTGTAGAAGTTGTTTTCTGTAACTTTCTTTCCCTTTTACCTGGGTGCGCTTTGCCAGGCCTGTTTACTTGTGCAAGCAAGGGCAGCTGGGACATTTATTAAACGTATAAAATACTTTCCAAACCGTTACATATAGTCTTATAAATTCAGACGTTTGTGATATAAAAAAATAAACATATTGGAATAATTTTTAAAGTTGTTTGAACACGGAGCAGTTTTTCCCGTGAGTGGGACTGGAAAACCCGGAGTGGATCAGGAGCGGAGTGAAAATAGAACGCTTCTGTGCAGAGAGGAACGGGCTTTTGCTCCAGTCCAGGCTTTGATCACATCTCCCTAAGCGGGTGAACACCTCGTACTTCCGACCCATTCGAACTAAAATTAAGACATTTATTACACTATTTGAGAAAAAAGCATATTTACGGCCTTAAAATAATGAAAAGGGTAATTTAAGAAACAGGGGGAACCTGATATTAACGGAAGTCCGTCGTAGCGACGGATAACTTTAATCCCTGTATATATTATTTAGTGTATTGAATATAAAATTACATTATATATTAGTAAATATATTCTCACATTTTTAAATATATGAAAATGACTTGTTTCTTTGTAAAAAGTGACTTGACATGTTTCATTCAATATATTGTAATATATTAACACCATATATTATTCTGTATGTTTTCAAATATACCGTACTGTTAAACCATTTCATATATTGATAATTCATATATAGGGAATATTTTCTTTTCATAAGGGGACCCCAGACAGTTAAATATTATTTTGTAACATGATTTTTTTTTAACAACATGTAATATCAATCACTTCATTCATGTTTTTAGTCTAACTATTTTTGTAATTTCATTATTAGACATAGCAACGTGAGATCAAATTCACTGTAAAGATGTACAATTCTTAGTTTCATTCATGGTAACATGAAAAAAGGAGCCATAATCTAGTGGAAGATTACTGCAATCTCCTGGACTAACACTTAATAACATGATTTTTTTTTTAACAAAAGCCACTAGATTTCACTCATAGCCTACAATCAGACATCATTTCAATTTATTTATTTATTGTTTTTCGATATATTAACGTTAAATGTGAGCTTAGTCATCAAGTGTCATGCCATTTAAATGAATGGAACTTTTTTTATGTGAGCACTAACCCAGATAGCAATGAGTCGGCGGACCACCGTCGGTTCTCCGGCGGCAGTAGAAGCGTCAGAATGGCGACATCGCAAACACGTTGGACGGCGCACCGCCGGCGGCAGCCGCTTTTTAAAAGCGGCAGCCGCCTTCCTACCGCCTTCGTTAAGCGGCCGGCCCGCGGGCCAACCGCCGTTCCGCCGCGCTTTATATTGAAGGCCGTCCTTCCGCGGCCCGCCGGAGGCAAACGCTATTTTCGAGCGCTCTGCCGCCGCTTATTCTGGCTAGATATATATATATATATATATATTTTATTTATAGCATGCAGTTTATCAAGAATAATGATTGCTCAAACCAGACAAATTTACAATTGGCATTTTTATTCCACGTTTCAAAGTACAGTAACTGTCATTTAAACAAGATGTTTCAGATCACTGAAACATAACAGAAAAATAAATCAATATACTAACATGCAGGTTTCCAATTCAATTTTGGATTCAAAAGGCTGCAATTACAACACTTACAATAAGTTTTCATATAAAAAGGACAGCTCTAGGGTAACAAATTACCAGTAAACATTATGACAAGTAAAGAGGATATTTGATACCAAATAATGTGCAAGATACCAAATAAATAAAAGTATAACTACATTTACAAGCCATTTCTAACAATATGATAAGTGGTAGTAATTTATAGTAAAGCTCTGGAGTAGAATAGGCCATTATAACGGCAATGCTGACCTGTGGCACAAGGATTTACAAGCTTTATTTGAAAAAGAAAAAAAGAAAGTAATTTCCACAGTGAGTGAGTGTAGTCTGACACTTCTGACTTCTTTAGGGGTCTTGATTCTACTGACTGCAAGATAAAGAAAGGATTCCAGTTGTCAGTGATTCTGGGGTGTCAATAGTCAGTCTAGTTTTAAGTGGTCGGCTGTGGGTCCCTCTCAGCTGTGCGGCGCCTTTTTCTGCCTTCACGGTCAGATGCTCCTTTCAGGTAACGCGTAACGTTAACCTGGACCGCCTCATCAGTGCATCCTGGGTTGCCGGGTCCTTCCGGATGGCTAATATAGAAAATACAGATCTGTCATTTAATTTGAATTGCATGAGGACAATAGGACACATACACATCTACTTAAATAAAAAAAAAATATCCAACTTACTTTGAACAATGGTCTTCAGGAACATGTCTCTAAAACATGCTTTATCCCCTACACCAAGCTGAAAATCCAAAAAAGTGTTACAAATTACATTTCTCTGAAGCTTCTCATAAATAAATAAAAATGTGAAAGGCTAAGGATTCAGACTGTAATATATGCAGTATACAATCTTAAATTTTACTTTATATCTAGGTCTACTACATGTACAGGTAGCCCCAGTGGGAATTAAACCGACAGCCACAGGTGCTGTTTGCAAGTTGTACCTAATTGCTCAGTGCAAGCAAACGTCTTCAACATTGTTTGTTGAACTTGCTTCACCTGCTCTTGAAGTAAGATTTTACAATTCGTATTTTTATATGTAATATTGTAGTGTTTATTATAAATGATTTATCTGTGCACTTCATTATTCTTTTAAAATTCATGTAGCCTTATAATCTTTAATCAAATACGTTACCCTTCCCTCCCCCTCGAAACGACTTCTCTTCTCTTCCGGTCATGTGCTATGGCGCGAGGGCGTGGCAACTCCCCTCAAACCGTGCTATGAGCAGAGATGGAGAAGAGGAGCGCTAGAGTAAAACCCTGCCCTCCGTTCAATATACCGTTTCATTTTTAAATACGTCACAACACTGGAGAAAAGTCGTTTGTAACTTCCGGTTCATGCCGACTTCAAATAGAAGCAATAGTTTCCAAGACAAAAAACTTCACAAATAACATCACTTACTTGTACTCAAACTCTTGGCTCTGTGAAGTGGAGTCTGGATTACTGGGGAGAAACCTGGTTGCGAGAAAGAGGAAACAGAAATTTGAAAATCTAACAAATGGTATAGTTTAGTGGCAGGATCACAAATCCAGCATAACAGCAATAGATTTTACATACCAGTTCAGCATTTTCCTGGTTTTCTGGAATCGATGCATCTTTCTAGAGTTTTTTTTCTTGAGACTTCCAAGATTCTAGAGTAGGGAATAATGAATGAAAGAGTCAGTTATCCACAATAAACAGAAAATAAATTACACAGATGAAATACAGGAAAATCAAATACACAAGTCAGACCCATTTACCTGCTCCCTTCATGAACTTAAAATGATGTTTCTCCCAGGTGCTGTGTGGAGGTGTGCAGAGGATGGCTAAATTGTTGCCTTCGTCTTTTTGGTGAGGTTAAATGGGGGCCAATGGCACATGCTCTCGCTGAGCCACTCTTGCGGAACCACTGCAAATGGCAGATCCTCCTCGTTGATAAACTGAACAATGTGAACCATCTAAAATAGAAGAACATTTTGCATAAAGTATACTTTTTGATTAATTTCCAGCCAAAATCAATAACATTAAAATGCTCACCCCTTCAAAAAACGAGTCATTTTCACAAGTGGATCAACAGAAAACCATGTTCAGACAAACACAATCATATACATATACACACATATATACATATACACACATATATACATATATATACATATATATATATATATATATATATATATATATATATATATATATATATATACACACACACATACATCGTTATTTTTGTAAGAAAACACCAAAAGTTAAACTTTCTAGATGTAAAGCTTTCTTTCTAGATGTAAAGCTTTGGCGATCTACTGTAGCTAGATACATTTCAACATGTCGAACATGCTTGAATTCAGTGAGTAAAAAAGGCGAAGCAGCATGTGTTAGCTAACACTGTAAGTTAATCTAGACTAGCAGCATGGTTGTCGAATCAAACAAAACATCATTATGTTTAGTTAGAAAACAACACAAGTTATACTGATCAGTCTTTCTTGTTGTAAAGATTTTGCTAACGTTACCATTCCCACGTGGGCGGGAGAATTGTCCTTCAGGATTTGGTTACGTAAGTTAGTTAATTATTCGACTGACCAATACTATCTTAAACCACATACTGTAGTACTCACACTTGCATAAACATACGTAAATATAGTTAAAAGAAGAAAAGAAAAAACTAACGCCAGGAAGAAACTAAGTAACGTTAGCTATGTCAGAAACATGACGAAAACTTTGTAAACAAGGCTAACTTACTAGCTTGACTAGTAAGGCAAGAACATATTTGAAAAAGCTGAACTAAAAATGTAAAAAATGAACATAATATTGCGTTACACAAAAAGGAAAAATGTACTTACTTTAAAGATCGTAGTCAATGACTAGATAGGATATCCTCTCCAAATACTGAAATCGTGTGACGAGTGGCCACTGTTGTGTTGGTAAATCTGCTTCCGTTTTTTAGGTACTGCCCCTCTCGGCCGGTGGAGGTACTTCTCTGTTTGTGCTTTAATACTTTCTTAAACATTTGTACAGATTGCAAAACTCGCAATTGCAAATTAATCCCTTACCTGTAAAAGGTAAAATAAAAATAAAAAAATCGAGCTTGTAAAAAAATGAAAGACATAAACGAAATTTCCTGGGGTGACAGAGAGACTAAATATTTCTAAATATTTCACTTTATCTTTCAGGTCAAAACAGGGATTTTCATGTTTATTATAAATATTAGGCTACCATGGTTGCAAATTAATAAAAAAAATCTAAAGCATACCCAAGCTTTTGGCCAAGTTGCAGATGTCTTTCACTGTTCACTGATTTCAGGCATTGGTGAAAAGTCTAACTTCATCCATTTATTCTGCTAAATTGTTCATACCATGAATGAAATATTTATTTTAAAACCTAATCAGAATCAGAAAGATATTTATTGCCAAGTAAGTTTAACAAAAGGAATTCTTTTTGGACTATTTGTGCATCTCAATTGTGCATAAATCAAAGAAATGTAAAGAATTGTAACCTTATGTGAATAAAACAATATATTTTACATAGGCCTATCACTGAATCGCTTCAGAGTTTCAACGTAATTTAAATGTATTTTCCTAAACCTTATCATGGAATCAGACTGAGTCAAATCTGTTATAAACCCTAATGACTTTGGAGCAACAACAATAACAAAATTTGATATAATTCACATAATAATTATAATCGCTTTAAATGTGAAAGTTAAAATGCTGTCAGTTCCACTCATGCCAATGACATGGCTGGTCGATTTCAATGCGGCTTGCCGCCAGCCGGCCGCGGTTCATTTAGACGGCGGCAACCGCCAGAGAGAATGAAGTCGGCGGCCCGGCGGCTGTTCGTCGGCGGCATCTCGCAAGAAATGGGAGTGACGTATTCGGCGGCAAACGTTTCATCTCCGCCAGCGGGGCGCACCTATAGCCGACAGTTTGGGGCCGGCGGCAAAAAGAAGCCGTGCCGATATTTTTTGCTATCTGGGAAGCAAACGTCAAGAATTTGTCCAATTTCGATCTTTTCACAACTCCCTGAAAACTATCAACAAAACGGACAACATCTGATATTCTTACTTTTGTCAGATAACGTTATATGAATGACTTAGAGAGAAAACAAGCTGTTCAAAGTCCATTTTAAAAATAAATGAATGGCGATCGTAGCGGGCGGCAGCGCGACCAGAAGTCTTTTTGCCGTCTGTGTCTGGCGTGATTTAACCTCTCCCCAGTTGTTCCATGAAAACCCGTAAAACACGGAAAGCTGTGAAGTGATAAATAGGGTTGTTTCTTCTTTGGGTTGACATAAACACCATAAAAAGGTAAGCAACAGGACTAAACCGCTAACAGTTTCCGCATTTGTCCTTCGACTGTAACTGCTTGCGCTTTCACCGGAAAAGAGTTTACCCTACTTCCGGTCTCGGGGGCCATTTTGTGAAATAGGCCTATATAGAGCACATTCACATCAGTTTTGCCGCTCAATCGTGAGTTACGGTCAGTACTATTAGTTACTACAGCAGCCTACAGATTGCTCGCTAGCTATGCCTTCGTCACAGAAAAGCGTAATGTTAGGCCTACTACCTGGATGCGATCACCGGATCACATACAAAACAGATCGGTGTCCTTATTTAAATTTCCGAAAAACGATTACATCAAGAAGAAGTGGATTAATTTTGTGAAGAGCCAACCTTGATGGAGAGCTGAGGATCACTACCAAAACCCGCCTCTGTAAGTGATCATTTTACACGGGATAGTTTTATAAACTTTCGTCGGAGACAAGACAACTGAGACATTCACTGATAATCCGTTGTTACCGGTGAATGGGGCCGAACCGACTATCTTCTGACTCGGCATTCATCCTCCCGTCATGGCAGCTTTCCCGCGAGTGGGCGTGGTTTCAGCGCATGCAGTGGACACGCCCCCAGCGTTTGAGAGCAGAGACTACTGCTCATTTTTTCAAGATTTTGATAGCTTATTTTATGTACTTGCTGGCTTTTTTTATCATTCAAATTTGGCAGGGTGGCTAATAACACATTTTTCTGTGGTGTGACAAACTCAGAACACATACAAAATTTTGACTATACAGGGACTTTAAGAACAACAGTCACATAATTTAGCTGAAATATAGTGATGCATGATGTCCAATTTAGTGGACAGATGATTAATCAGAATTTCCTCCCGATCTAAAATGTAACTACTTTTTTTTTTTTTTTTACTTGCAAAATTATAGTAATTATAATAATCAACTTGGCATTTCTGGCATTTAGGTTTGGAGAAACAAAAAATCCACATACAACGGCTTGCCACTTGAAGGCAATGTATAGGATGATGCACTGTAGTGGTTGATGTGCAACTATGCCATCAAAACACATGCATGCATATGCAAGAAAATGCTTTTTTTATATATCTGTAGTGACCTCTGTGCATGAAAGGGTTAAACAGATTTCCATAACTGTATCTTTACATTTATTTAAGTATGATGCACTTACTAATTACTCTGGTCCTCTATTATGCACATATTCCACACATCATACAATGCATATTTTAAACATTTACAACCTTATTTTATCTTTTTACAAACAAAACAAAACATCTTCATTTTGGCTGTCATTTTAATGATGAAATTATATAACAATGAGTATAAAACCAACTAAATATTCCGTGTTCTGGATATGACACATTTAAATATCCATTAAGATGACCTGGAATGGCATCATGGGCCAAAATGTTATCTGATGTATTTTATACATTTAGTTCAAGTAGACTTTGTTGATAAACTGATCTTAAGCAAAATGAGATCACAAACCAAGTGCAAGAAAAATATGAAAAATAGGGAAAATCTGATGCTGACATCTAGTGGTGAAATACCAATAATTTTATTTGGATATTCTCATACACTGATACCAGCCACTAATATTTGATTTAAAAAGAGAAAGTTTGAAAAATAATAACAGATTGTCAAGCAAAATATAGTTATGTATGCCTATATTCATATATATTAATGTATAATTAGTACACACTTTTAGCATTACTTAGGCTAAAATGTTAACATTGATTATTAATAGATTAAAAAAATTGAAGTCTGTTCACATAATTCTTTACTTGAATAGGCAAGGTCACCTAAAACTAAATTTAGCTACATATTTGATTTACAGAACACTCATTCACCAAAGATTTATATTCATATTTGATATGCATTAAGCATTTACATGCATTATCATGTTTGGGTGCCCAAAGCTCAGACAAATTTATTCAGCAAATGTTATTCATCATGAGAGCCTCATGTTTCTGGGAATAAATATTTGGGGCAAGGTCCCCGCAATCACTCGCACCCCAGATGTGTAAAATCTCCAGGCAAATAACCTCCAGCGTGTGCGGTGCAGATGTTGGACTGGTGCACCAGTGCTCCGCCATATAAGCGTTTATGGTCTGACTGATAGTATAGCCCCATGTTCAGACTTAAACCAGTTTACGAATTCCATTATGCTAAGCCCGAGCACTCTCACCGCTGATGAATGATTATAAAAATACATAATCTCCCGTGGTACCATCATTGCACTATGACAGGGAAATTTCATTCATTCTATCCAATTTTTCCCTTATTTAAAAAAGAAATTACTGGCCGCCAGTAATCAGATATACAGGCAGGCTGTTTCTGGAGTTAAGCCCAACTTCTATTAGGATTTCGTCTTCTCTCATTTTTAGGAAACACGCGTACACACTGAGATACTCCAGGGCTCATTTGGCCAAGCCCCTTCCTTAGTTTCAATGGTTTTAATGCGTTTATATGCTGAAATCCATCTTCAATATTTCCGTCAGAGTGCTGACAGTCTTAGATGCTGACAAAAAAAATCATTATTAGTAAACTAACAATCTAATAGCATTTCCTTTGTGGAAAAAGAAGTGCACTTTAGCTTACTTTTACTTGATCTATATACTTTAAAAGAATATACTTCAGTGCAAACTGAATGT